TGGCTACAGACCGTGCATTTCACTCAGTCTCAAGTTGTACTACTCAGGGAGTCCTGGCATTTGGAGTATACTACAGCTTTGCAGGGAGGGGAGGATTCCATTAGGGTTTGATGGAATTAGGGCTGGGGGAGTGAAAAAGGGGTAAGAGCCTGGAGGGTTTGGGGAAAAAGTTTTGGTGACCCCTTTCCTTGCTTTCATCTTCATTCTGCCATTAGGCAAAATGGAAGAAAAGGAGAATGTATGAGGGTCAGTGGAAAAGATGAATGTTGAAGATTGAAGATGCAGGAAGGCTTTTGTTTAGGTCTCTGACTTGCCACCCCTCAGTGCTGCCCTTTTAGGCACCTCAGAGCTTGCTAGGGCCACTGGGGCAGCAGCGAGAATGTGATGGAGGGACACAGTTGGGGGAAGGTACTGAGTGCCTTGGGTGTCAGGATGTTCTTTCAGTCGGGCGGAAAGAAATCTTGGGTGATTTAATCGAAGATCGTCTCAAATACGTATCACAAAGAAGTTGTGATACTCATTATTGGACAGTCCTTACCAAGCTTCAAACTCCCCATTTGACCTAACCCATCCTTGAGTTCTTTGCTTTTTCTGTCACCGTGCAGCCTGAAAGTGGGCGGTCAGACATTTGAAAGGCAAGCCAAATGAGCAGAGCATGTGGAAACCTGGGTCCTAGGGCAGCTGCTAACACTGCCTGTCCTCCGGGTGTCTCTGCAGTCTATGATGTCAAGCACATTTCTCAGGGCACCTCTGCTATCGATCATTTAGACCTGCTTGTTTCACATTTCTGTGTTTCGTTTTAGGTTTGATGAGGCGGCACTCTCTATTCAGAAAGAAAAAAATATTTATAAGGAAATTGAGAATTATCCAACTTGTTATAAGGTATTCTTTGAAAGTGTTTGTTTCTGGTGTTACATTAGATGATTTTTTATACTGGTATGAATAAGTACCTAAGAAAGGATTCTATGGCTGTTTCTATGTTTTTGTAAAATAATACTTCCTGGGCCTCTATTTTTGACCAAGATAGAGTAAGCCCACTGCAGCTTGTCTCTCTGCTGATTACAGCTAAACTACTGGATAAAATACAAAAGCAACCACCCTTGAACTCTGAAAAGTAAATAAAAACAGACTAATGAGAGGAGCAAACACTTGGAGAAACAACCACCGTGGGAGTGAGTTTCTCGGGGGTTTTTTCCATTTCGTCTTGCAGCATTGCCCTGCTATGAGAGAAGCCCGCAGTTGTGGAGCTGGGCAGCAAAGGCTGCAACAGTGAAAACTCCAAAAGGAACCCCGCCTTTCTAACCAGCACTGGGAGAAGAGGTCCCATTGTCTTCCTCTCCTTTTTCTTTGCTCCAAGCTTGTGCCCAGGCATGGAGCTGCACTGTGATGATGGCTCAGGTTGATAAAACGCCACAAGGACCCCAGTCTCTTTTGCCAGAGGAACTAGGAAAATGAGCTAGAGAGAAAGGAGAAAATTCCAGAAAGGAGAGAGCTGGAAACGGAGTCCCCAGAGTGTGGATGTGGCCCACACAGGTCTTGGGCTTACTCTTCAGCTGTACTGAGACAGGCACCAAAGTAGCAGTGCAGTGCAGAGGTTGGAGAGCTAAGATCTCATCACCGTCGAAGTGTCGCCCTGCCCTCTGAAGGGCTTATGCATGGAACAGGCCCAAGGCCACATAGCAAAGGATTTGAACTGAGTGTAGAACTTCCATCCACCAAAAACAAGGCACCACATGTAGTCTGAACCTAACTGGGGTGATTGCCTGCTGAAAACATCCGTACTCTCCTGAAAATTAAACAGAGGCCGTGCAGCATCACATTCACAGTACAGTCCAAAATTAACATGCAAGAACCTGGAAATATGACCAGTTTTCAGGAGAAAAGACAACTGATGGCAACCCAGCAGTGACCAGGGTTTTTGGCATTACCACATAAAGACTTACAGTTGCTTCATGAGGTAAAGATAAAGACAATTGAAATGAATAGAAAAGAGGACCTGTTGTTTTTTATAGGAAAAAATGTTTTTATAGAAACTATAAAAATGAACTAAATGGGAATTTTAGGACTGGAAAATACATGATTGAAATAAAATACTGGATAAGCTTAATCTCAGAGATGACAGAAGGAAGACTTTGTGAATTTGAAGATAAATCAGTAAAAGTTACCTAAACAATACAGATCAAAAAGATGGAAAAATACTTCATAAAGACCTATTTTGCCAATAATTTATCAGTCATATCCTTGATCTTATTACTGCTTTTATCGTTGACTTATCAATACTATCATTGTTACTGTTATCTGAAGTTTTCACTCATATATCTTTTTCCTAGTTTCTTTTTAAAGATTCTAAGTATCATTGTGGAATTATGGTCGCCCCCCTCTTCTTTTTTATTCACTTTTCAAGCTTGAATCTGTGTAGATATTTGAAAGAGATTCTCTTTAAAACGTGGTTGTGATCTAAGGCTTGTGTCAAAGTGTGGTCCCCAGACCAGTAGTAAGAGTGTCCCCTGGAACTTGTTAGAAATGGGTGAATCCCAGACTTGCCCCAAGCAGCCAAATCCCAGGAAATGAGAGTTGGGAAAGTACTGTTCTAGGGTATTTCCCCTCGGGTGTCCCGTAGAAGTTACTATAGCATTTATAAATCTCTGTTTATACAAACAAAGACTCTGAAAGTTAAACTCCAGGTGTTTTTAATACTGCCAGGATACTGACTTTATTAAACAGACATAAATTTGACCATGATCCTCTCTTTTGTTTTAGAAAACAATTGCTCAAGTCTTAGTTCATCTACACAGAAATGACTATGTAGCTGCAGAAAGATGTGTCCGGGAGAGCTATAGGTAAGACGTCGTCTGGGCCCTCTTGACTTGCAGTGTTAGCACTTCTGTTTCTACAGCTAAGATTGCTGCTAGGACAAATGTTCCTGGCCATGAGACTGTTATTTCTAAATCTTGGGAGTGCTCGTCTACCATTTCATCTTTTACAGTGGGCATTTTACACGTTTTGTTTTTTGTTTGTTTGTTTGTTTGTTTCCTTTCCTGTATTTTTCTCTTGGGGACCTCCATGGAAGTGAATCACTTTAGTCATTTTAGTCATTTTGTTTTATTTGCCTTCTAAGAAAAAAAGAATAAGAAAAAGGAGAAAAAAATTCTCAGATTGTATGTTACAGAAATCAAAATGAGGGATTTTCTTAGTGTTTAACATGAGCAGTCTTAATCTCAACACTGTTAACATTTGGACTGGATGATTCTTTGTGGTCGGGCCTGTCCCGTGCACTGCAGGCTGGTTAGTGGGATCCCCGGTCTCTGCCCTCTAGATGCCACTAGCATTCCCACACTTTTAAGTACCAGAATGTCTCCAGACATTGTCACATGCCAGGGGCAGAATCATCCCTGCCTGAGTTGTGTTCTTTTAAGGAGAAGGTGAAGACGTGTGATTTGTGCTTACTGCAGCATCCCCGGGTTCAATGGCAGTGAAGACTGTGCTGCGCTGGAACAGCTTCTTGAAGGTTATGACCAGCAGGACCAAGATCAAGTGTCAGATGTCTGCAACTCACCGCTTTTCAAGTACATGGACAATGATGTAAGTGGACCTGTTTGCGTAGCTTTCGTTTTTTCTCTTGAAAGAAAGGTTTCTAGTGAGATTTTTACCCGTGTACTTAAGAGATTTTTTCCTACCTCTTTTTTTCTTCTCAAACTACTACTCATAAGGAAACTGACCACTTGCATTGAATTTCACCATAGATTTAGATAAAATAGATGGTAGTTGTGTGGTTTATAGCCATTTACTCACCCGTCTAACTGTTGACCATATACATATTTTAAAATTCAAACTTATTTCTCAACTTTTCCTCTATCTATTGTCCTGCATAGGTTGCTTTTACTCGTTTCTTTTAGACGGACTGTCTGAAAGAGACCCATTCTGTAGCGGCCTTTGTAATTCAGTAGACTTGTGGGGATCCGTGATGACTAGCTACGTGTTGCAGGTCACTAATTACCTCTAAACCTCAGTTAATTCATTTGTAAAATGAAGCCCCTAGTACCTGTCTTGCTGGACTGTTGTGAGGAATACATTAGTCAGTGTGAGAAACATCCTCACGTGATGCCTTGCATGTAAAGTGAACCAGGACTATAAGTTTCTATTTGTTCTATTTTTTCAGTGGATTTGTAAGTACCTGTTTTAATTAAGAAATTATAATTGATACTTTTACTAGTTGTGTACCTGCCCCACCGTGGCCATGAGGCATCTGGAGAACAGTGTTACTGGGTTTTGTTTTCCATCTGAATGGTAGAATTGGTGGTCATGAGGGCGGAGAGCCAGGCTGTCTTTTTAGAGCTGAGTAAAACGTGTCGGGATTCTAGTTATCCAGCTTTTAAGAACATGCTCTGTTGTTGACAGTATGCTAAGCTGGGCCTGAGTTTGGTGGTTCCAGGAGGGGGAATCAAGAAGAAATCACCCGCAACACCACAGGCCAAGCCTGATGGTGTCACTGCCACAGCTGCTGATGAAGAGGAAGACGAATACTCAGGAGGACTATGCTAGTATTTTGCTTGCTGAAAAGAAAAGGGAAACAAAGGTAAAAATCCTGACATGCCATTTCAAGGACTTGGGAATAGATTAGGGATATACGTACTTCATTACAGTCATGTTGGAT